ATACGTAGATTTCTCGGAAACAACACAGTCATGTCGCCAAAATCTATCAGAACTCGTGGGCGTGGTGGTAGGTGTAGAGGTAGAGGTATAGGTAGAGGCAGAGGGGCCTCTGATACGAATCCTGGTCCAGTTGAGATGTCGGACCGACCAATCCAACTTGAACCACAACCTATTGCTGGTCCATCAATATCAAATGACGATGTTTTATATGATCAAATGACGATGATTTAGTGAACGATAGTGGGGATGACACAGATTTTGTATCTGTGTTAATGATTGTAGAAGCATTACTACATGTATATGGTCTTGTGTTTCCATGGTTCAATTGAAATTGATGTTTCAAACAAAATCTGGAAAGCTTTTATATATTTTATGTGACAATGACAATGAACATGACTAGAACTCGAAATGGTCGTAGTATGAACGTAGTCAGGTCGTAAGAAGAGCGTGATGAGGACGGCATGAGCGTGCTTGAATCGTACTATGGTCTTGAACAGCGTAGTATAAACGTGGTATAGTCGTAGTAGAATCGTGGTTGGGTCGCGATGAGAACGTGATGGTCGTAGTAACGTCGCTGTGCGATCGTAGCGCAGTCTCTCCGACTAGAATCACGCTTTCGCTACGCTCTCGCTACGATGGTACAGCGACCTTTGCGATCTTACCACGACCTTACTGTGCTCTCACTACGCTTCTACTACGTCCTGATTTCGCCACGACCGCACCCCGATTGTTTTGAACATGTTCAAAGTTGTTCCACGCTCATATTCTATTTCCATTTTTTTCAGAGATCGTTGTGCGATCGTGGCCTTGTGTGACGGGGGTATTACTTTTTATACAAAGCTTGCTGATAAAAGAAACCTATAAATAGATTAACCCGATCATGTTGACACTTGAAATATTATTGGTTTTAGCACAAATATTTACCTATGCAGATATATATACTTACCGTTACATTATAGGTTCCTAACCCAATCACAGGATATTTCGTTCCATTTGGTAAAACAGCAAACTTTGCAATGTCTGAACTCATTGTATGTTCTACTTGCACCCAAATCTTTCTAAGTTTAGTCAGATTTAAACTATGAGTACGATTAGTATTCCTAACATGTGTCGACCTAAATATTTGCATCTTATCGCAGATAATGGTGTTTGCATTTGAAAACGTTTTGTTCGCACCTTATTTGTCCTAGTTTGGCTTGACTTTTCATTTGTTTTATCTTCCAAGATAACTTTTGTATATTTTGTAACGAGCATCACTGCAGAAACATTAGTTGTCGAAATGCGCATTCAATGCAATAAAATTAGTAACGTTAATGTTATTTAAAGATGTTGAATATAACTGAGGCAGGTTTAAATCGTTTGAAAAAAAAACACAATTTGACCACATTTGATAGTTATATGAAAACTGACCACAAACTTTGAACTAGCTTTCAGTAACTGCAAGTACTCTCAAATTTATACTTTGTGTTTTGTTTTTGTGGTCAAATTATTGATAATTTATAAATAAATCTTTGTGTTTTGTTTTTGTGGTCAAATTGTGTTTTTTTTTTGTTTGGGATGTATAAACACCTTGCCATGTTCGGTCTGTGTTAGTTACTTTTCTGCTTTGTATCGATCTGATAAGTTAAGCCCGTAAAGCTTTTCAACTGATTTTTATAGTGTGCTCTTATGTTGTACGGTTACACCACTGTCACAGGTTAGAGGGAGGGTATGGCGTCAGCAAACACTTTTATCTCCGCCACATTCTGTATGTGCTTGTCCCAAGTCAAGAGCCTGTAATTCACTGGTTGTCGCTTGTTGCTGTATATCATATTTGTTTTTCGTTTATAGTTCTGTAAATCTGGTCTTTAGTTTTCTCTTTTGAATTGTTTTACATTTGTCATTTCGGGGCCTTTTATAGCTTACTATGCGGTATTGGCTTTTCTCATTGTTGAAGGCCGTACTGTGACCTATAGTTGTTAACCTCTATGTCAATTGGTCTCTGGTGTTTAGGCCATTTATCTCTATTATTTATTTCTTTTTACTTTTGCCAATTATTTTGTTCTATTCATATCTAAACACCTCATTATTCTATTTTTTTTTATTTCTTGGTTCATTGTCTCTTTTATTTATATTTTTTGCCCACTATTCTCTATTCCGTAAACCCCCATTCACACACCCCATTTTAGGTCAGCGTATAGCTTTCACAAATAAGCAAAACTCATACCGAATAGGCTCCGAATGGCAAAATGATTGAATGCTACTCCCGGTTTGAATTCTGACATTGCGCAAATTTGTTTTTCAATCAATTGATCAAGCAAAACACATTATCGTCCTGATTGTTCGTATAATACTGGCAGATGGGCCTTGGTCGTCAATTCTAATCAATTTAAATCAACCTTTCTAAACTTAAAAATAAAGATCACGCACCTTTATTGTTCAGATTGATAAAGACTTTTGTATCCGTCGACATTAACTTCGATTTAAATACTATAGATCTGATAACCGCTGTGCATGTATACTTTAACGACTGGGCTAGTTTCCAGTTTTAAAAGTAGTAACCTCCCTTGTTAATGTGATGTTGTAACCTATCTATCTATTTGTACCATCGTTATATAATATTATATTGTACAATTTAAATTTATGATTCGTTTAATATTTAAATATAATAATTTTTTTTAGTAAAGATATAAACAAGGTAATTTGAAAGGCTTTGATTCATTTATCACCGTAGTTCAATTCATAAGTCAGGCGGTCTATTTTGTCAACATTATGTTGAAAGAACACCGGGGTGTTTACATTGGCCTTTATATTTACTATCAATGACTGTGAAACAAGAAAGGAAAATATTGTACATAATAAAACGAGAAATAATTAAAATTACATACAAAACTAGTGAAGTCAAAAAAGAAAAACGGAAACACTTTTGATATTGATTTTGGTTTTAGAGAAATCAAAAACAAAAAATTAAAACACTTTCGTTTTCGGTTTTGGTTTTAGAGAAATCAAAAACGAAAAACGAAAACACTTTTGTTTTTCATTTTGGTTTATTTGGACCTAAAACAGAACAAACTTCGGGCAAGGAATCAGAGCTTTGCATGAGGGAGATTTATTCCTTAATTTAAAATAATTTCCTAAATTTTATAACTGCAAGTTTTAATTAAACAATGTCCGTACTTTCACGCCAGTTCCGTAGTACTGGCTACTGGGATGCTGATACTCTCGGGGATTAACAATCAACCAGGAGAGGTATCTACCCAGTGGTAGTAAATAACATAAACAGTGTCAATTGTAATGCACAAGATGCGCATTTCGACAACTAATGTCTCTTCAGTGATGCCATTAGTTTCAACTTAACCCAACTGATATTTATATATATGTGTGTGCAATTAGTATTCCTTGAAAATGCTAACTGCTTTGTCTACCATTATTCATTTACTCTAAGAGATACATTTGACAATGTTTAATAATGCTGAAGGATGTCCATTTGAAACCTTTTAATTGATAGATCATTTATATGCGTGTTGATGTCTATCATTTAATGGACTAAAGACAAAATAGGTCGAATCTTTGGAAAATTAGTATTGAATGAGAATACATCATCTAAGAATCAATCATTTGTGATCGAACAAATATGAAAAAATCAAGGACATCGAAAATATCTTATTTGATCTGAACAAACCGTCCAATATCTATGAAAAATAATAGACTAGTAACTATTGTAAAATATCACAATCGCATGACCTGTGAATGATGTGTTTTATATCCTTAGTAACTACACTTTTAGAAAAGAACAAAAGAAGAAATGTAAAGATATTAATGTGAAATCGTGTAAAATAGATATTTTATTAAAAGGGACAGGTATCTATAATAAGCTTATTCTGACAGCATTCAATAGATACTAAGTAGCATCAACTAAATTTGTAAATAGTGCGAGTTTAAAAAAGTAGAATAACAAAAATACCGAGCTCCAAGGAAAATTCAAAACGAAAAGTCCTTTATCAAATTGCAAAATTAAAAGCTCAAACACATCAAACGAATGGAAAACAACTGTCATATTCCTGACTTGGTACAATTATTTCCTTATGTAGAAAATGGTGGATTAAACACTGGTTTTATAGCTAAATCATTTTAACACCCGATGTCCAAAAAAAAACAATGTTGATTTCAAAGTAAACATTTTCAAGGGTTACTTTTGTTTTAAAGCTGTAAACTGTTCTACGTATATTCTCAAACTGTTTAGGCTCGACTGTACTTGATGAAAGCCTTATAATATTATTATTTCAGGAAAACGTGTCGTTCCTACTGAAATCGGAATGAAATACATTGATTTATAGATATCATCATATTTGGCATTGACTAAACGAGGGTCTTGATGGGGGTTTAGTACTTCATTTTTGTATTCTGTAATTTGTATTTCATTTTTCTCTATTTTCTCTATTTTTTGTCCTTAATTATCTATTGAACTCCGGACTTTGTTTGTCCTTTTAAACTTATTTTTCAATCGAGCTTCACTGATAAGTCTGTTGTAGACTAAACGCATGTGTGGCGTAAAAAATTTAAACCTGTTATCTGTAATGAGTTTCTTTAAGCTTTTGTGCATTTGTCTCTGCTCTTTATTTGTTTGTCCCAATATTCTCTAGTATGTGAACCCTATCTAGTTCTTCCTAAACAACAATGTCACTGATCAAATATGTTAGTAAAATGGTGAATTCTTGTTTTCATGTAATAAAGTAGACGTTTACACACGGTTAATATAAAGTACTCATGTATATTGAGAACAAGTTTTACTTAATGAATAAACTCATCATAGATACCAAGATTAAAATTTTGTACGCCAGTCGCAAAAAAGGCCAAATAAAGTAGAAGTTGAAGAGCATTGAGAGCTTAAAATTCCGAAAGGTTTTGCCAAATACAGCTTAGGTAATATACTCCTGTTCGCCATATGAAACAATTGTTAGTAATATAAATTATTGAACTGTAATATCAGCAGTGTGAGACTGTACGTGATTGTTTGGCTGCAGAATATAAAAAGGAATAAAAAAAGAGAAAAATGAAAATACAGCTTAAGTTTTTTCCGGTAAGTAAAAGTGTTCTTTATAAAGAAAACGGTTCTTTAGAATTCTTCATGGAATGGATACTCTTTGTGTTCACTTGCCCTGCAATAAAATATGATCAGAAAGTTGGATAGTATATGCGAATGACAATAATAGAAACACGTGACTGATTTTACTTAAAGATAATATAAAAAGGATCACTTCCAACGGAGTTCTTTGGAATTTTGAAAGAATGCTTAAACACTAATTCTAATTTAAATATTAAAAGAGGAATTGGTAGGATATTTACAATTCGGTGGCTCTGGTAGCATGGAATTGGTAGGATTAACAATTCGATAGCTCTGGTAGTATGAAATTGGTAGAATATTTACAATTTGATGGCTCTGGTAGCATGGAATTGGTGACTAATTGTATCAAGGGAATAATAACAAAGGAACAAAATCCGACTTCCTTAAGGTTTGATTTAAAAATAATTATCTTTTCATACTGATTTATATACCAAATGCATTTATATACTACTTCAGCAAAGCCAAAAAAGAGAAATTGTCAATGACACCTAACTGCAAAATAAGCAAAGTATATACCTTCAGGAAACAAAGAAAAAATTTCTTTAATATATTTTGTATTTTGTACTTGTATTTACAAGGGACGAATGAGAACTTACCATATGATATGGACGTTGACTATCTGATGACCTCTAGTTATGTTTGGAATGCTATCCTTTGTGGCTTTGTTAATTATTTTGTGTGATTGTTTATAAAATCACCCGAAGGAATTGTTGTTTTAATTGCAACAAGAAGAATCAATTGCTGCTGTCTCTCATAAAAAAACATTATTAAATTTCGGATTTTTTATTTCTAAATTTTAAAGGATAATGTATAAAAAAAATAAAAAATACAAAGAAAACACTGTTTTCATAATGAAAATAAATATTGAACTTTACCACTTCTCTATCCATATTCGGGGATATTTATCTAATGCCCATATTTGTTCCATCTCGTCTGGTGACAAGGAAAAACTGAACACCTGAAGAAGATTATTTTAAAATTATTTTACCTTTCATATTTCTTAAAACAATGTTTTTTGTGTTGTTTTTTTTTGTTTTTGTTTTTTTTTTTTTTTTGCTGTATCGTTCATCTTATAATTATTTTGAATTCTGACTATGAACCTGGTAGTGCATTTTTAAGAGGGAAATATATATGTGCAATGCATTTTGTATATGTTCTGATCTCTGTGGTAAGTTTAGAGACAAATGTAAACAAGAAACTTTGAACTCGGGAGAAAATACTGACATTTTCCTAAAAACCATCTTCACTACATTCAGAAGAAATTATAACTACATAGATGCTTCAATCATAAAAAATAACTGACAAAGTATATAAAAACTTTTGAATATAAAACATCTATTTGAATAACGATTTGTTTGCTAAACTTTGATTTTATAATCTTTAAAGATTGTTATACGATTGCAGAACTCAATCTGTAAATGCAATATAAATGTGTGAGCATTTATTTTGGCAGAGAATTTTTTATTAAGGATTTACTCAAATATATTTTAATCATAGTTTAACACATCCTTTGAGTCCCATATTTAAATCCTTTTTTGGTAAATAATTAAGCGACTCACATCAAAATTCTCCTTGATTCTAGAAGGCGTTACAGATTTTGGAATTACAATGATATTGCGCTGTAATATAAATCTCAAAACTACCTGAAAAAAATAAGCAACTAATATGGAAACTGCTTATTAAATCTTTTTTAATGAAGATGACTTTAAAATTTAACATACTTGTCTGTCTAAACAATTACAATGTATAATCGCACGCGGAAGCGTACAAGTCCCGCCTCGAGTTTTGAATGTACAGGATTCGATCCCCGGCTGGAAAAACCAACGGTTTCACCGTACGTCTGACATTTCAGAGTAGAGCAGACAGGTCGACTCAGAGTCAGGATAATGTGTCCAGGTATGGGTGACATGTCTTCATTCAAAATTGAGAATGGATATGGGGAATGTGTCAAAGAGACACCAACCAGACCAAAGAGCAGAAAACAGCCAAAGGCCACCAATAGGTCTTCAACACAGTGAGAAAATCCCGCACCCGGAGGCAGGCTTCAGCTGGCCCCTAAACAAAAATGTGTACTAGTTCAATGAAAATGGACGTCACTCTAAACTCCAAAATTTAAAAATGAACTAAAATTAAAAAATATACAATACTAACAAAGGCCAAAGGCTCCTGACTTGGGACAGGCGCAAAAATGAGGTGGGGTTAAACATGTTTTGTGAGATCTCACTTTGAATTGTTACCTTGTGAGCTATCACAATTGCAACTCGGTTCAGCCTACTGTTACATGTAGTACAGAAAGGAGTTCATTTTCGTATCACATCAGCACGTTCGTGTCCTGATATGCATTTTATATGTGCCACTGAACGTTAAACACCAATCCAAACTTTCATGGATGTATTACAAAAAAAATAAACAGTTTAAGCGTCTGGCGTACAAAATTTTAATCTTTGTATTTATGGTAAGTTTGTTTACCGAATGCATAAACAATCACAAAACTAATGTTTGCAATCCAAAGCTGGCAATATGTCGTACTGTTATACAACTGTCAAGTGTTAGGGGAGGATTGAGCGCTCACAAACTTGCTTAACCCCAACACATTCTGTAAGTGCACGTTACAAGTTAGATGCATATACTTCAGTGGCTGTCGCTAGTCGCTGTCTGTAATATTTAGTTGTTCACTTATTATTTTTAGCAAACATCATGATGTTTGTTTTTGAATTGTTTCTTATTTTGTTATACCGGAACCTTTTATACATTTCACTATTCGGTATGGGTGTTGCATGTGTTCATTGATGAAGGCCGTATATATGTGTGACTGTCCTATAGTTGCTGATGTTCTCATCCTTTGGTCTTCGGTGGATAGATGTCTCATTGGAAAATTGGCAATCATACCACATCTCCTTATTTACATAAGACAGGTTTAGCCTTTTTTGGTGCTCTCAAACGTTTTATATTTATAATTGTCCGAATGCTGGCATGGAGCATATCTGATGAAGGAAGGAATTCCATAAATACGCTTCTTGTTCTTAGATTTTATATAGATTCTTTGGTAATTTTTAGAGATATCTCTTATTTGTAATTTATACTCTATATATTTTGTATCTCCTTTAACCAGACAGGTATTCCAAACACCATACTAGGTTTTAATGTGTACATATTACATTCAGAAAATGTGATACCATGGCTGTTTTTACCTCATGAATCACCATACGTAAATTTTAGAATGAGCAGTACTTAAATTAAAGCAACTTTATATAGTATTGCTATAACTGTTTGAACCATTTAGCTTATATTGCATTTTCTTTTATAAATAAATTCTCTCCGCCCCAATTAAGAATTTCTTTTACCTGTGCTATGGTTTTGCCTTTCTTTTGAGCAATATCCTTAAGTACAGGTTCGTCAAATATACTTGGTTCTTTCCCCGTTCGCCTATTATAATATAAACTTATAAATGTTAAGCTTCTGCAATCTTTTAATTTTAAACAGGATTTTGATAATTGATTGATTGGTGATTAACGGCACTTTCAGCACTATTGTGCTATTTCGTGGCGGTCAGTTTTTATTGGTAGTGCAAGCCGGAGTGCTCTCAGAGAGGAAAACTGACAGTCAAAGTCAATTAAGATTGGAGTCGAGCGCACCTGTCACGGGCGGGTTTTAATGACATATATGTAACCACTGAGTTTTTACAATGGAGAGGTCATAATGTTAATTATGACCCGTACTATATGTAAACGTGTTTGCATTATTATTATTTCACTTCAAAGCATAAAGACTTTATAAGTTTTTAAACCAATTAATCATAAACGTTCAACGTCATTCATAAAAGCACTTAGCAAAAATTGTTGTTATAGGTTGACGGAAATATCTTATTGCAGTTCCATTATGCTATCATAGAAAACAGTACACATGGACCGTTTTACCCACAAAGGACTGTCCGGGTTTGCTAGAGGTGCATAAGCCGTCACTGTAATGCCTTTTGAAAAGCAGAAATCCACAAGCTTCCTATTTGAGAAATAAGGATGTATTTCCACCTACAAACACAAAATATTAAAATAAAAATAATAAACAATGCTATTCGATATTTCTTGTTGTATTGTAGACCGAATTCTTTTGTCTATAAGAAATAGAAAAACGCAAAAATAGTAAAAGGCAAATGAAGATTAGGAAATATATGCTATATAGAGACAGAAGAATTCGGTCTAGTTGTACTGTTATTCTTGGCAAATAAAAAAACACAAGTTGCTTTCTTTAAAAAATGAAAAGCAATACGTGAAGACGGCTGACTGGTCAACAAAAAATTTGCTAAATTTTTGTTTGTTTTTGAATTGAAATAATTGACTGTGAATAGAATAAGATAATGATGATGTTAAAACACTTTCATTAAAAATATGTAATTGTATGTAGATTTTTGTACAAGTCAGTTGAAAGCAATGTCAGATAGTTTGAATAGAAAAGTGTATATATACAGCTACTATTCGAATACTATTTTATTTATAACTTGGGAGCGTACATCATTTTTTCATAACCCTTTTGCAAATCCCAGTTTCTACAAACCGGATGTCTAATGCAAATTGCACAAACCAATCGCAATATAAATTTAAGCACTCAGTTTGCTTTATAATCCGGATGCATTTATTTTATCTATCATATCTTCATATTTTGTTTCCTGGATGCCTTCAGTTATTCTCAACTCGTTATTGAAGCTGTCTGTACTCATGGTAGATGTTGAATAGATAAATTAAAAGTCCAATTTCCATGTGAAGTGAAACCCTGTGGCATGCAACTTATAAGAAGGTTTCGTATATATTTCTTGAGAGTAACACACCAGCTTCATCAGTACCTCTTATATAGAGACTTATTTTGGTCTCATAAAACATCTCAAATTTTAAGGATTTCCTGTTTTTACTTATTAATAAATCAATCCAAATATTCTACAGGAAATCTTGGTTTTGAAGAATATCTTGTTTTCAGAAGTTTTATGAATACCTGGACAACCAATTTATATAAAAGATATGTAAATAGATACCAGGATTAAAATGTTGTACACAAGTCGCGCCAGACGCGAGTTAAGTCTACAAAGAATCATCAGTGACGCTCGAATAAAAAAAGTTAAAAAGGCCAAATAAAGTACGAAGTTGAAAAGAATTCAGGACCCAAAATTTCGAAACAAAGGTTTTGCCGAATACATCTAAAGTATATTCCTGGGGTAGAAAATCCATAGCATTTCGAAAATGTCAAAGTTTATAATAGGACGGTGACTCAAAATAGAAAAGAAAAGAGAAACAGCTAGAGGTCAGAATACCGTAAGTAATGATGACCGTGCTAGAAAGTCACATGTCAAGCTCTTACTGCCGTGTCCTGAATTTAGATAAGAAAAGAGAAAATTCACATTCGAGAGTGAAATTAATATTTGTGCATGCAAGTAGTATTTTTGCGCAAGAAATAGTAGATAGAAAGCATACGCACTGGTACTCTGGATAAGAATACGTATTTGCGTCATCACATATATTAATCTTATAGTTGAATTCGGATGTCAAACTACCTACCTCACGTGTTTTGACTCCGGATTCATTGACATTTAATCCGGAATTTGTGTGAACGCAAACCGATAGTGTGCATGTAAGCAGGGTGATGTACAATGTGAATGAACCAAGACGTGTAGGATAGCTGGTCAACACAATGAATACAATTTTCAAAATCGTACCATAGTATTAAAGCAAACAAACAAAAAAAGAATTGAAATTTTATAATTAACATACATTCCTGTTAATGTTTTTTTTTTCCGAATATTTAGAATATAATATCAATACACACAAACGTCAAGTATTTACGAATGGACATTTTATTTAGCAAATCAATCTCTTCTTAAAGTCTAACATTCCACTATATGAATATATTGCTATACAAAATATAAGCAGACACTTATAAATCCATACTAAAACAGTATAAAATAATTAACATAGTAATTAAATTTTGTTATGATTATTGTAAAATATTAATTACGTTTTTTGTGAGATGCAAGGATTTAAAATCCTTGTGAATTGAAACCATGCAAGTATTTTTTCATTCACGATCGTTTAAAATTAAGTTATTTAGCTAACTTTGGGTACGCATTCCTGCTCATTGGTGCTCATACGTTGCATATAATTTTCATAAATGTAATGACTGTTCAAACCTGCCGGTGTGAGACATAATGCACGTATATATGACAATTTTAATTATATTCTATTAAGAATAAATTCAGTCTCAGTTTAAACTTAATAATGAATATTCTCTTGGTCTGGTAGTATCTATTAATGAAATTAGATATTTTTTGACAGAAAAATCCTTTTGTTTAATTATCTTTCTGCTTTCCGACCACTGTGTTTCCGACCTAAGATAAATATTTATATTACAGAAATATCGTTTTCTTAATTTTCTTCATGCTTTCCGACATTTTCCCATGCTATGATTGAAATACAAAATATCAAATGATAAACATTCAGAAATAATCAGTTTATTATGGGACATTATATATCAATAAACTATTCCAAAGTTTATTGTCACAATGCACAACAGCACGCTGTATTAAATACTACACACACAACGCGTACAGGGACCGTCTAAAAGCATGAATTATAATTGCGTTATCATTATACTTGATACTTAATAAACATTCGCATTGTTAAAACTCATCTGTTTTGTCAAAAGGCAAATATGTTCTAACATATAAATGATTTTTTTAATACAACCTAGTCTTTATTGTTTCACTTTCCAATCTATAAATGAACTTTGATTGTTGAAATATACAATGTCACGTGGTAGCCTATTCATAGAGGGACCGTATCAAAGAAATAGATAACTACCTGTATTAATGATAGAAAATTTTCGAGACGTTCCGAGAATCTTGATTCCGAGGATATCGAAAGGCCCATGGACACTTCCAAAACTCACCAATATATAGGTGTGAACCCCTGACCCCTGAGGGGTTCACGCAAAAAAAAAAACCTTTACTGCCTTAATCTTCTATATTTCAACATACTCAAAATTCTTTTTTAGAAGCAGTTTACTCCAAAATCGGGACTTGTATATTCTTAATGAAAAAGGCCAACATTTCAAGATAGATATTTCATGTTACCTGTAGATTACATGGTTTTATCCTGGCACTTTGTAATATACGTTCTATCTGTGACTTGTTAAAGTTAGACAACCCTATATTCTCTGCCATGCCAGCATCAACTAATTCTTCCATACCCTGCAAGTTCACAAATTCACAGGTAGTGATGATATAGGAATTAAGAAATGTAATAAATTAGAAAAAAATCAAAGCTGTATGTACCATAAAACGAGTTCGAAAATGAAATTGTAAATATAAATGAATTTCAAATGTATACTTTGCCGTTTACAAGAATAATCCTCGATATTTGAATTATTTTTAAACGCTTTAAAAGATATTTGATATACTAATATATGTAGGAGTGATGATTAAAATATATCTATGACCGTAAGATATAACAAGAGGCTGTCAGAGTGACAGCAAACCGGATTTTTCTGCAGAGGTCGAACCCTGAACAGTTGAGCAAGTATGGACCAATATCCAAAATCTAAGTACATATTAGAATCAGCATATCAAAGAACCCAAATAATTCAATGTTTGTTGAAATCAGACAAAAGTTTAATTTTGGACCCTTTGAACCTCAATGTGGACCAATTCGATAAAGGAGCCCACAATCCAAAATCTCTCAATACATGGTTAGATTCGGCATTTCAAAGAACCATTAAATTCAATTTTTGTTGAATCAAACAAAGTTTAATTTTGGACCCTGATTTGGACCAACTTGAAAACTGCGCTCAAAAATCTAATATTTAAATACAGGTTTAGATTCAGCATTTGTAAGAACCCTTTATATATCTAATTTATGTTGAAATGAAACACAGGTTAATTTTATCCATAAAATATTCTGTGCAAAGGGAAATAACTCAAACTGGATAAATAGTTCTCTAAAATAAGATATGATGCAATTTTTCAAATTATAATCAATAATATAATAACAACAACCAGTGATGACTAAGTTCTCAAAAATTAGATATGATTTAACACTCAAACATTGTTAGAATCAGCATATCAAAGAACCAAAGAATTCAATTTTTGATGAAATTAAACAAAAGTTTAATTTAGGACCTTTTGGAGCTCAATGTGGTATTATCTTATTAATAATGAAAAGAAATACAGGTTTAGATTAAGAATTTCTAAGAACCCTATGTATATTCAATTTATGTTGAAATCAAACACTGTTTAATTTTGGACCCCGATTTGGACCAACTTGAGATCTGGGCCTAAAATCAGAAATATATGTTTATTAATAAACAATATAAGCTTAGTTTTTAAAGGAGTTCACTTCATAAAAAAAATATATAGCATTCAGAAAATCAGTTTTTAAAGAATAACA